CTTTGAACTATTTTTTTTTAGAGGCACCTAACAACACATTTCGAAGAGGTAGAATTGTGTTGATGGTGAGAAGAGTTAATTACATTATCTCATTCAATTTTAATTGTCTTTGACTTTTTAATTTTTTTGAACATTAATTTAAAAAAAATTAACATACAGATGATTTTTTTTTTATGAATAAAATAAAACTACTCAACAAAAATTATATGTAAAAAAATGAAAAATTTTCATTATCATTTATATGCTTTGCTAAATTTTTATATAAAATTAAAGTTTGAAAAGTTAAAAAGTTAAAATATGCCTACTAAAATTAAATAGAGGGAGTAATTTATATGACTCAAATTATATTGTTATTAGAAACCTAATTCTAAAAATAAAATAAATTTTCATATCTAAATTTTAAAAAATAAAATTTTAGGACTAATTAGTTTGGATTGACAATTATTATCGCCACTGCCCTTCTCTTGGATGTCCTGAAGAATGTATTCTCTTGAATGTGTTGACATGCATGCTTTATAGATATGCAAATAATTTGCAACTTAAAATTAATATAATTTAAACAAAATTTATTTTTAAAATCTCTTTTATAATCAACGACCTAACTATTTGTGAGTTCCTAACAATTTGTAACTCACATTTCCAACCCATCTACTTATATGTCTATGAAGAAGTTAGATTTATTTCAATTGTTCAATACTTACCCTAAAATGGGATGTCATGGATTCTTTTTCTCCTTCTTATACACAGTAATGACCTACTTCTAGCATCCTGTTAGAAGACTCATTTATTAGTTATTTCTATGCAAGCACGCATCATTATTACATTGAGCTACTGGTTTCAGTGCTTAGATTATACAATTATTTCACATTAAAAAAAAATTATTGTATACAATGAATCTTCCTCCATCAAGCATAAGGTAGACTGCAAACAACTCTGGTAGATAGAGGGGAAAAGAAACAAAAACAGGGGTGTGGCGAACTTCAACTTCTGGATCAAAAAATTTGCCAGAATGGAGAAAACATCAGAAGCTTCATGATCTCTACTCCGGGCCAAGATGTTTGAAGGCCGTATCAACCAAACTTAAAAATTGATTGATGACATAATCAAACAGCTTGATTTCAAGATAATTATGTCATTAAAAATTGAAGATAGACATATGCAGAATTTTGACATACCAAACTATAAACAAGAGTTTAATAGTGTACGTGATGATGCATTCGATGAAGCCATGATAACAGGGGCGCCCCTTTAGGGATTTGCTCACTCTTGTTTTAAGCCTACAAAATAATCACAATAAGGGTTTCTCACACATGTCTTAATACCTTTGGACTAATATAAATCAACTTGTTTTATTAAATCAAAATCTATGATCAATGGAAGCCCACACATATAGAATTTTCTAATAAACACCAGCTGGACTGGAAGATCATTCAGAACGAAGCAATTATTATAAGCAAGGAGGCGGGCTTTGTTTGCCGAAGGAAAGGACATCCACATGAGAACACAAACTCTTTGCAGCTCCGGATCCCTGGTGAGCCAAATTGATGTCCTTCATCACAATGTTCTTGCATGGGAATGCACTGCTGCATTTCAAGGACACTGCAACTTCTGTAATGGAAGTCCCCCATATGTTCTTGTATAACACATCCTTTATTTGGACATGCGATGGATACTGCATTTAAAGCAGAATTAAACGAAATATCATTAACAAAAATGAAAATGATACTTTTTTTATGAAAAAAGTGAAAATCAAAATATTGACACTTTAAATGTCAAGACCTTTTATGAATTTTTTTTTTTTTCATATTGATTTATTAAGGATATCTTAGTTTTTTTATAACATTAATTAATACACGTTTCAATTCAATATACTGTACAATACACTTATTAAAAAATTAATATTTTTTAGTTTGAAATTAAAAACAAACAAATTTAAAAATACAATCATACACACATAATATAAAAACTGATTAAATTAACTGTATTTATATTATATTTTTAATAGTTGAATCGAAGATGTATTAAAAATTATATTGAACCGATGGTGTATATAATATATATAATGTACATATATACATTACCTGGTCATTGCAAGGAGGATGTGGACAATAGAGCTGATCTATAATTATCGGATTCTGAACATTGTTCATGAAAATGTCTTCGAAAGTGAAACCAGAAGCAATGGAATGATGAGGAGATTCCCATGTTTTGATTCTAACACCATTATTAGCGTTGCTAATGGTGCAGTTCTTTACTATCAATCCGGCCACATTCTTCTCGTTCGGGAACCCGCCGAGGCTGCCTACACTGATGCCATGTCCAGGTCCACAGAACAACTTGGAAATTAGTATGTCTCTGCTGCCAGCAAGTATGGCTACGCAGTCATCCCCGGTACCTATTACGGATTTGACAATTTTGATATTAGTGGAGCTGCCAATCTTGATGCCATCAGTGTTGGGGCTGTCTTGAGGGGCTGTTAATCTGATGTTGGTCATGTTGACGTTCTTGCAGCCGAAAATGACAATGTGACTGTTTTTGCTATTGATGGACCTTATATCATGAACTCTTGAATTCGTTACGAATTCGAATCGCAAAGTCTAAAATCATAGCATTAGAAGCAAGATTTAATTCAACCAAGAAAAAAATAAATAAGATTAAATTATATATATAGACTCAATAAACCTCACATCAAACAAAAATGAGATCAAAGAATGCAATATATATATATATATGTAAATATGAAGGTTTATATAAACTTAATAAGTATATTTTTTTTTAATCCAAAATAGTATATCCTCATGTATATTTGCACTCAACAAATAATGCCAAAACTGATGGAGCTGATTCAATTAACTTCCAACAAGTAGTATCCGAGTTCATAGTGCAATCAACAATCAATGATCCGAGTTGGGCATGTCTTTTCTTGCTCAACTGACTCTCCAACAAAGTCCCAAAAAGAAAAGTCTATAAGTATGTGTTTTAAAGAAATGAAGAGATGTAACGTACGGCGGGCAGAGGTGAGCAATTAGAGTTGCTGTGACAATCGTTGTTCTTCCAAGCAAATTGTCCTTGGCCGTCGAGAGTACCGGTTTTACCGCCTTTCACCACCAACTTGTTTATGTACCGGAAAGTTATCCAGGAATCACTAGGACCGAACCAAGACGGTGCCCTTAATACTCCTTGAAGATGCACGATCGGCCGCCCCTTGCAAGGGCCAACAAAAGCCATCTGCCCCAACATGTATATCCCAACCGGAACATAAACCGTTGCTTTTCCTGCAAATCCGCATGCATCCTTCCATGCCAACAAAAATGCCTTGAAAAATGAAAAAAGAAAACACATTTTCAGAACTTCCTTTTCTAATATACTTTCGAATTGGAACTTCTCTGAATGTCAAAACATTCACATATAGATGCTCTGAAGATATATACGCCTTGAATATATTCTTAATCAAAAAGGGTTTCAGTTTAACCTGAGTATTGTCTTTCTGGCCGTCTCCAGCTGCACCATATGTTCTTACGTCAAAAATCTTTAGGTTGTGTTGAACTGCTGTAACGGATGCGAAGAAGATGAATAAGACGAAAATTAGAGAGATTATTGAAGCTTGGAGTGCCATTATTGTTTTTCTTATTTTGCTAATTTATTACAGTAGTATATATAATGTGGATGTTGGGGTTTAATATAACAATATATTTATGGAAAATGATATTAGAGATAATTTTTTGTATATTTGTTATATAATTTTAAGTATTATTTAAAAATTAACTTTTTATACTCAATTGAAACTTATGATATCATATGCATTCAACTATTTGATAATACAGTGAAAATTATTTTAAAAAGTTATAAAATAGAAAGCACACGTATTGTAAAATTATATCACAAATAAATATTTTTAGATTTCTTTCCATATATATACCTATTCTTAGATTTTTTTTCCCAACAACTAACCATTTTCACAAATAAATATAAGGTAATGATATGAAGACAATATATATGTAATAATGTTGTTTTAAAGTGGATTTTTCTTTTTCTTTTTTTTAGAGGTTTGGTCAATGAACATTTTAAATTTTAATATATTATTCATTTTTTTTAACAACAATAAGTAATATTTATTAAAAAATAGAGTGCAAGAGATACTTCAAACCCATAAACATCTCAACTTGAAAGGCATAAATTTATATGAGTCAAATAGTCATCCTATATAGTATCGACACCAAAATATATTATTTATAATAATAAATTAATTAACAGTTAAAATTTTGTATAAATAATATATATAATTTGTATTTAAATAAATCTTAATTCTTATAAATTGATTTTACCTCATATAATAGGAATTAATGTTAGTTTTAAAAACTTTTATATTAATTTTTAGGTATACATTTTAAAATTTAATATGCTATTTAAGTGTTATATTGATTATTGAATTTTTTTTTTATGGAATATTGATCGTTGAAATTTCAATCCTAATAACTAACTCATATATAATGTGTATGGAAATCCGATCCTCTATACGATATCTTCTTTTTATTTTTATTTTTTTCATTTAACCATTTGTTTTTTCATTACTGTTACAATTGACTTCAATTCCTAAGTTTCATCGGTCAAACTAACGTCAACTGATAATATCTCATTAAGGCCAAAATAGTATACGCATCACAGCGCCAATCACTCGTAATAATCATCCCATCAATATTTAAATTTTTCCATCAAAATAATAATAATAATAATACACCATAAAAATCAATGGTACGTGAAAACCACGAGCAAAATTATGGGGTCGCTGGCTTTGACTAACTCTCCACGGCCCAACTGGATACAGACATAAAGTACTGAGTCCAAAACTGCACTTTCCAACCCACGTGCAATGTTGGCGGTCAGACCAGTTAAGATGACTCTGTCTGAAACGCTGCCTCTGCGTGCATGCTTTGACCCTAACTTACTACATCGAAGAATTCAACCGGTCAGTGCGGATTGCTATGCAAAACAATATTAACGGTCAATGTACAAAGCTTAAATTTCAACCCCTCTCCTTTGGTACCTTCCCGTATCTTCCTCTATAAAAACACACCATTGAATGTGCTGATTAACTAACATATTTGATCACTACATAGCAATATTGATCATGTCCGGTGGCAGAGTTGAGCCAGTGAAGGTGGTGATTATTAACACCCAGTATGTGGAGACGGATGCTACGAGCTTCAAGTCGGTGGTGCAGAAGCTGACCGGAAAAGATTCGAGGGTGGCGGCTGACTGTAGTGGTTCAGGCTATGGAGATGGTCAGTCAGGAAGCGATTTGGCTTTGATGAGGGATGTGTCGTTTAAGGAGTTCGGAAGGCTACTGAAGGAGATACCGAAGGTGGATGAGTAATGTGAGTTTATTGATTGACATCGATTCAATGAACAAATATTCACTTTATGTATTACTCCCTCCGATCTGATTTATAGGCTTATGAATTCATTTTTCTCATATACTAATATTTCTTTAATTCATTTATTAGATACACATAAATGTTTTATTATTCTTGGATATATTGTATTAATCTTATTCAAAGTAGGTACTTTGAAATATATTGGACCCAGATCTCACGCTAATTAATTTCTTAGTTTGTGCTCTAGGTATTGTATCAAGAATTCCATTAACGCAAAACACATTCATGTTGATAGGATGTTTCTAATTTTCTTGATCAAGCCTTAATCGCTCTAGAAGGACAATTAATCCAAGAGTTTTGGCATAGATACCAAGTCCTCTTGGCTTCTGATGTTTATTGGCATGAAATAGAATTTTTGGAAATCCTCTTAATTATTACCTTTTCCAACTTGTTTTTTCCTCTTAGACTTCTTTTATATTAGTTAATTATGTGTATTTCTAGTGCAAATTGAACTAATTACAGAGACAATTACAAGGAAAATCATGCATCATGAGGAAAATTTTACATATTCTTTAATTGATTATAAGTTGAGAACAACCCAATTGATCAATATGTTGGTATCATTTAGGGTGGGAGCGAGTCTCTCAGGAAAATTGCTTGGGTTTCTACCAAATAGATGCACGGGAAGATGGGGAAAATGGGGGTTTGAAAGGATGCATGAGGGTTTGTAGAGTTGGCTTGTTGATTGGGAGAGGGTTCCCTTTTGGACATCAGGAAGGACCGAGTGTTTGAATGTTAGGAGAGAGCAGACTAGTTGAGGGGAAGAAGGATGGATGGAGGTTGATATGTTTGACCATACTTCAATTATTAGGTTGTAAGAGGGCTTGGGAGGTGAGAACGCAAGTGTTTAATTGCATCAATTGCAAGTTTGGGCTTGGGTGGAATAGGAAAAGAAGATAGAGGTTTGGGTTTTTATTTTTATTTTTATTTTTATTTGTGGTGGGATGCAATATGTGGCTGTGGAAGAATAGTAGCTGGTTTTTAACGAACATAGCAAACGGTGGTGGGTCAGGTTGGCTTTTGCATGAGTCATTTTTGAGTCAAAGCCGAATGAATTCATTGGATAATAAACAAAGCTCGTAACCCAACAATTTTATGGGTTTGTGAATTTTGATCTCACCTCCACGAGTCACATGTCGCCGACCCAAAAACAAAAAAAACTGTCACAGATCAAATGATTAATAAAGTCAAAATGGACTGTGGGTGAAGTGGGTGTGTTGGTAGGGTCAGATGAAATGGAGCGTTAGACCATATAGCAACCACACAATATAACCATGGGACACTGAACCTAGGCCTTAGGCTGGGTTGGGTACGGTCACAACAAAGGCTAAAAGCCCAATGCTCTTAATATTAACATTCATTACCCTTGATGCGTACTGAAGCCTTGAGCCTTTCTAATTTTGTCATTGACTCATCAGGAAATAATATCTTTCATATTCTTCTTCTTTACTATTTTTTTTTCTTTGGTTAAAAGACAATTTTGGAAGACCATAAACTGCAATTAAACAGTAAATTACTACTACTTAAGAAAGATATTTAGCGCTTAAGTCATTAATATTTATTCAATTTTCTTCTATGGATACTCATCAAAAAAATTTTTTTTTTCTCTATGGATAAATAACGACAATTTAACCCCCAAAAATAAAATGCAGAAATAAGGTTAACAAATTGGTATTAATGTAAGGATTGTTTGTAAAGTGGATAGAGTTTATATCTTCGGATTGATGCTTAATAAAATTTAATGTTCTTAAATACATCATATCATAGAAGAGAGGTTATTTGTAAGATCTTTTGAAAAAAAATAAATCTCAAAATACATACAAATTAACCTAAAAAATATTGACAATTTAAATAAATAAATAAACAAAAAGATTGGTATTAGTAGCTCCTTGGCCTTACATCTTTTGTCCTTCAATTTTTCTTTATATTCTTTTTTGAAATTTTAGATGCTTTTTTGTACCATCACAATTTCTGGTATTAGTAGATGTTTGGCTTTACTTATAGAGCATTTTTTGTCAAAGTTGAACTTTAAGAACCCACTTAATCTAGCTTCTACAGTACTTTTGTAGCAATTAATCTTTTAGAAACTGATTTTAATTTCTAAAAGTTCATATGAACTAAAACTACATTTTTGTAACCCCAGAAAAAGAGCTTTCGATTACAGACTTTTGAGTAATTAATAAAATTTATCAACTTTCTTTTTTTTTGGTAGAAAAATTTATCAACTTTCAAAATTATGTATAATCATTTACGTAATTGGCGTGCCATAATATAAATTCTTAAAAAGAATAGTATTTTTGTAAAAGTTTTAGTTAGGAATGGATACGACCTTTGCCAAAATTTTCACATGTATATACATAGATGGAAGATTAATAATGTTTCAGACGCCCTTTCTTAGTTAACAATAGTTTTCATGACATTGCTCTGTATTTTGTTTGGTCACCTCTTGGAACCTACCTTCTTCCTTATACTAATTTCTTAATTTAATTTAGCAATTAACTAAGGACTCCTGCCTATATTTTTGTGTTAGTTTGCATGTATAATCTAAATTAACCTTTGATGAACAGTTTATTAATTAAGTTTAGGAATTAAATAAAGAGATAGTGCCCATGAGAGTGCCACAGGTACCAACCCAAAATGGTTCATCTTCCTAACCAATTTTGGTCAACCAGATACCAGCCCTTATCAACAGTTGCCTCATTCAAACGTTAAAATCCAAGGTTCAAAATAATATAAAAATGTGTTATTTAATTTGAATTATACATTATAAATTATTAAATAGAAAAAACACCTAAATATTAGAGCTGTTCCCCTAGTCAATAACTTCAATTTTATAATTTGTTATCATGTGTGTAAAACAAGGAACTCTTACAATATATTCATGTCTTGCAATAAAGAGTTACTTTAAGCATTTGTTGGCTAAGTTTGTCAAATAGTTTGGTTTTGTTTCTCAATGTTATGTTATGTTGTAGTAATAGAATTTTATTTTTTATTATCTTAAAAATATATAAAAAATAATTAAAATTTAAAAATTTATATTTTTAGTTAAAAGAATATGTGATAAAAGCCTATAAAAAACATTAAGTTAAAATTTTCCTAAATAAAATACTTCTAGCTAATAAGATATATTTAATGTAAAAGAAGGAAAGGAGGAGAGAAGAGAGGAGGGTTGTTTTTTTCCCCCCTCAAACCAAACCAAACCAAATCAAACGTAGTCGTGGTCCACCGTAGTCGTAGTGGTACATTTTAAACGCACCATGGAGGTACACGGATCAGGTTTCCTGTTCATTTTTATATTCAATCCAAGGTAAGGCCAACACAAGAGTCACATATTCTTGATTTTGGTCAACTAATCGAACGGTTTGATATTATTAGTGTATATTACTATTATTGAGCTAGTCCACCTTGGCCACATGTCCACAACATCAAAACATTTTGTGGGCCATCCAACTCAAAGATCGAGAGAACCAAACAGAAAGATTTTTTTATTACAGCTTTGTATTTGTTATTATTATTATTATTATTATTATTATTATTATTATTTGTATTTGTGTTAGTGCATGTTTTACTGAAATTTTGAAAATAACTTTCCGAATGTAAAAATCAAATTTTGATCAAAGAAAATTGCTTCTAATTTTTAGAAGCTAAAGTTAGAAATATGCAATTTCTTTTAAAAAGCTTAGTTCTTTTTATTATTATTAGTTTTGTTAAAAGAAAGTATAGCCTTACTAATAAACTTTTAAATTCAATAATTTTTTTCCTAGTTTTTAAATCCGTAAGTATATCATGCTTATATTCTTAAGAACAATGCTTTTTTTTTTTTTATTGGCCAACTTAAGAAAAATGTAGAAGTAAGGAATTTGCTTGTGAAATAGTATATGTAGTGTTTTTAGATTATTTTTAAAAAATTCATAAGTGTATCATGCTTATATTTAATTTTAAGAACAATGTAGAAGTAAGGAATTTACCTATAAAATCAACTATAAACATAGTATTTTTATATATATTTTTTTGGTCTTAAGTGGAGGGGAAGATGCAGTTCGAACACTGAATCTGTTAATACCAACTATGAAATATATATGGTATTGCTACTTACTCCATTACCATAAGTGATATAGTGTTTTTCAATGATATATACAGTGAATTGAGCTTATAAATTTGACATTTAAATCTTATATTTCTTATAAAAGGATTTCAAATTTTAGGTTGATGATTTGCAAGGCAAAATTTAAAAAATAGGACTATTTAAAAAAAAAAAAAAAAAGAAGTATAAAAATGGCCACATTTCAATACTATCTTCAAGAAGAACCTCTTACAAAAAGGAAAATGAAAAACAAACTCCCAATCATCATTCTTAAAAACCCCAAGGTCCAAGTCATGATCATATTCTTTTTCTTTCTCATATTAAAGGAAAGAATACTTTACATCTTTAGGTCACATTTCCTTCCTTTTAAAAAAGAAAATAAAAATCCCCATGTCAAAGGTAATATTTTCATTTTTTGCCCATAAAAGATATATTTTAAAAATCCCCATGTCAAAGGTAATATTTTCATTTTTTGCCCATAAAAGATATATTTTCTTGATTTGCTAATTTCTCTTGATTCATCACTCCTCCAGTCCGACTGAAAATGGAAAATAATGAAATAACGGCACCTGAATCCACGCGCTAGCTGATGGCGCGTGTTTCGCGTCAGAAAAAATTGATTCTTTCCTCGTCCCATACTCTACCGTTTCGTGCCTTGCTTCCCCACATCGTAAACTAACTCGTTAAAAAAATATAAATGATTTTAATATATATGTAAGAAAGGAATAATCTCTAAGTTAGTAGTTCTTGAACTTATTTTATTTCTCAATCTAATCCTCAAACTTAATTTTTAGATCCAATTAAATTCATGGTTTGCAATGTTGCTTGTTAAGAGCAAAGTTGACCCAACTTTCAAAAAAATATTTTTTCACTTGCAAAAGTTGAGGACTAGTCAAATATAAATTTTTAGAAAATACTTTTGCTTTTTTTTTTTAAAATTGCTTCTTAATTCTAAAAGATTAGAGTTAAAATTTTACAAACCAATAATTGATGGAAGCTTTTGCAATTAAAGCTTTTGAATTTTATAATTTCAATCAATTTTAAAATTTTTTATAATTATTTTAAATGAATTCATTATTTAATAGTTTTTTAAAAGTTTTGATTAGATCAAACTTGCTTGAAAGCACATAATTAAAATCACATAATTAAGCATCATATCCCCATTAAGTCTTGCTTGGCTAGCTTACCTATTGACTACGGTACATAAAATTTGATGCAACAATAAGGGCTTTTGTCTTTAAATTGAGGTAAAATAACTTAAAAGAAAATAACCGTTTATATAGATTTTGTCCAAAATAATAGAAGGTTTTTTCTTGCCTAACATTTCACATAAACTAAGGAAGCTAACTTGATAGGTTTTAAAGAAGAGAGAATAGTTATGCCATGTAACATTGACTTCAATTGGTGATGTTGTATGATTAATATACGACCTTAATTGGCTGAAAAACAAGTTCAAAAGCTGAATTGGCAAAACAAAAGAAAGTAGAGGGGGCAAGTTGAAATAGTTTTCATTTTCTCTTTTCTCATTTCCCCTCTGGAAAAAGTTTCCGTCACAGAGGCCGAAAGGCAGCAAAAAGAAGAAAACAGACAAATCCTAAGAAAATATAATAATAAATAAATAAATAAATAAAAAGAAAGAGAAAAATCATCCTCTCTCTCCTCTTCTTCCTTTCCACAGAGAAAGTTCTGATTGTGTTTCTATTCTTGAGAACAAATCTCTCGATCTCCATATTTTCCCCTCTGAAACTCTGATGCTCAGAGAAACCATCTCGCCATTTTCACCTGCCAGCTTCTTCCGAGATTTCGAGGTCTGTTGGTTCAGGTTTTTTTTTTTTTTTTTTCCGATTGCTATTTTCTTTCAATTTCGTCTGTTTTCATTCTGATATTGAAGTGTTCTTGCTTTGTTTCTTGAAGAATGGGGGGAAATTCTTGCTCTGTTGTGTTTTTGGACATGATTTCCTCGCTTGTACTGTTAATCTTAAGCTTTCGTGATCTTTTTGTGCTGTTGCAGTGTTTTGGAAATGTTTTTAGTGAGGTAACTGTGGCGAATTGGAGCTCTGAGTGGGAGTCGGTAGGTTGATTTCTGTTTTCTGATGCAAAATTAGGGCTTTTGTTGTTTTATTTTTATTGTGGAATTTGTTTCTTTTTAAGTTTGGAGTTTGGTAGTTAAATTCTGCTTTTATTTATGATTTTGCAGGATTCTCTGGATGTTTTTATGTAGCAATTGTTTTTCTGGCGTGTTCTTTCCTATGTGGAAGTATGAGTTAGGGTTAAGACACTGTAGAATTATTTAGTTATGATTTTGCCAATCATATTCAGGCTGTGAAAATGAGTCGGTTCTTTCTAGGAACTGCATAATTCAGAAATGGTTGTTATTGTCCTTTCGTGTTTTTTTTTGGAACAATCAAAGATTTAGTAGAAGAAAATAGAAGGGAGAAAGATTTAGGGTCCTCTTTCAAGAACTTGGATGGGTAATAAGCTGGGAAGAAGAAAACAAGTGGTGGACGAGAGGTACACGAGGCCACAAGGGTTGTATGCCCATAAAGATGTGGATGTTAAGAAGCTTAAAAGGCTAATACTTGAATCAAAGCTTGCTCCATGCTATCCTGGTGATGAAGAATGCTGTTGTGATCTTGAAGAGTGCCCAATTTGCTTTTTGGTTTGTATTGTCTCTTGGATTTCTTCTTTATGTTTTTCTTTTTCCACTATGAAATTCCAATAATATTTTTTCTAAAATGTCTTTAGTTTCTGTTCAGTGTTTTATCAATCACCGCTGGATATGAATGCTTAATTTTTCTTTTCCATCCTTATTTTAGTATTATCCGAGTCTCAACAGATCAAGGTGTTGCATGAAAGGCATTTGTACAGGTAAATTTTCACTTCTTCAGTGGATTCTCTTATCAACATGTATGGATATTGCTTGTTGCACGGAATTTGACTCTTCTTTATGTACCAGAGTGTTTTCTACAGATGAAGAATCCAAATTCCACTCGTCCTACACAGTATCCTTTCTTTTCATTTTGATTTCATCTTATTGAAACTTTGATGTTCCAATTTCAACAATTTTTAGTGTGCTTATCCTTCAATTCTTGTTTCTTCCATGTGTATTTCTTAACTTTGTGAGATGTCCTTTTTGCAAAACCTCAAACTATGCTGTAGAATATCGAGGCATGAAAACAAAGGAGGAAAGGGGCATGGAGCAAATTGTAAGATTAGTTTCTTCTCCATTAGAAAATTGTTGGAGTGCTTTGACGTTGACAAAATGTAAATGGAACATAATCTCCATTTTTTTTTTTCCAAATTCTCAGGAAGAACAGCTTGTGATAGAAGCAAAAATTAGAATGAGGCAGCAGGAACTTCAGGATGAAGAAGAGAGAATGCAGAAAAGACAAGAATTAAGTTCTTCAAGCATTGGTGTTGCTGCAGGGGAGGTTCAATGCAGCTCAGCAACAGGTTTGATGCTGTTATAACTTATAAACTTATAAATCTGTCTTATTCTTCAGCTCCTCTTTTAGCAGCCTATTCAATTTATTTCTCTCATTTTTTGTTAGTTGCAGCTCAATCCTCCAGGGTTCCTGTTGAAAATGAAGAGGAAATTATTTCTTCTCGCCATTCACAGGCTGCCTCAATGACAAGACAGCCATCACATGCTAGAGCAAACAGGTATTCTGTCTGTTGGGACTGTCTGCACTAAAACAAGGGTATTGCCTGGATAGAATTAACTTTTGGAATGTTGGGAGAAACATGGAACATAGTCTATCTCCTTTAAGTATTAATTAATTTCTTTTGTGTCTCGGAATTCATCATGCCCTAACACCGATGGCAAGTGAGAAGTTTTGCATCTTAGATTTTTCATTTCATGTTGTGTGTGATGTAGATGGGTTGCATCCATATTAAGGTGCATTTTTATTTTCTTAATTCTTGGGAATCAGTTAAAACTTGTTATTCTCTATGTACAGCTCCAAACACCTCTGCCTCTCTATTTGGCCTAAATATGTTTAAACTGTCCTCCATCAACTTTCTAAATTTGTTTCTGATAATATGAGGTTAATTTTGCATTCCAGTAGGGAACTGATTTCATCATGTTACATTAATTTGTATCAAATGCCTGAATTGTAGGGATGATGAGTTTGATTTTGATCCCGAGGAGATAATGGTCATGGAAGCGATCTGGCGTTCCATTCAGGTGATCATTCTAAATTTGATGAATTGTGATTTATGTTTGAAACTGATTGAAGATTGCAAGTGATGTTTGTTATTAGTAATGAAGTTCTTGCATGTAAGTTGTAGTAAAGTGGTACTTTTAATATAATTTTTCATTTAAAGCTGTGACTAAGTTGTGACACATGAAAAAGAATTAGAGGGGAAGCAATACCTTGCTTGCTAAGTTGTTTCATGTTGTATCTACAAGATTGCTGTATCACCATATCAGTTACGTTTGAATGGTGCTGGAAAGTGCAAGCAAGTGATAGGCCGAGTGTTCTTGTTCCTTGATTGAAGTGTCAAGTTATGGTAACAGACATAAGAATTGATGTATGGAAATGTTGGTTCATAGTTCATACATACTCTTTTTTGCAGAAATGTCATTTGTGTTAACTTTATACTGCATTTGGCATTAATTTTATTTTACTTATAAAAAGGGAAACCTTATACAATATGGTTAATTTCTGTGCGGTCATCAAGAACCTTAGTCAAATTGGAGAATTTTGGATGATGTTTTTGCTGGATTAATGCTTTGTATATAGGTGTGAAATTAGCTTCCAAGGGAGGTCTTACTTCTTAGGTTCAAACCTTGGGATGGGCAAAGAAGAGTTTGTGGGGGCTACTCCCTAACCCTGTTATATAGCCCACAATTAAACTGACGAAAAAGGCACTTCGATTACAGATTGATCATACTAATTTTATACTTTACCTAAAATTTTCTGATTTCATCCAAGATGTAGGGCCTGCTTTGCTTAGGCAATGGCCATAAATATATTTATTGGTGATCATATCATGATCATGTGTCTAGCTTGCGGTAAGATTCATATGAAATGAGTGGTATTGTAAATTTTGTGGGGCAAGTACTTGTCATATTTAAAATTTCTATTTTTAAATGCAAGCTTGATATGCACTGTTTTATAGTTATTATTTGGGTTTTGTGTTCTGATTGGTTTCCTGATATTTGATCCTTTGATTTGCATTAAATGATACAGGAGAATAGCAGACAGAGAAATACAGCTTATGTAGATGCTACTTCTTATGAACAGTATGTTGCTGGTGGCCACTATGTTTCGCCAGTCATGGCCCTTATGGCTAGTTCATCTTCACCTTCCCCTTCTGGTGGTCTTGCTTGCGCAATAGCTGCCCTAGCTGAACGTCAGCAAATGGGTGGAGAATCTTCATTTAACCCCAATGCAAATATGTCGGCCTTCAACATGCTTCCACTCAGCAGTAGGTTTAACAACAGGGTGGCACCAGATGCAGAGAACTATGCTGCTGCCGGGAGCTCAATTGACATGACAGCTGATTGTAGTATTGCACCAGAAAGAGAGGAAGGTGTATGGGATGTAGATCATGGATCAGAGGTGCCTGAGGCAGGGACAAGCTATGGAAGCTCTAATGTGACAGAAGGTGGTGGTGAAATTTCTGTGGTACCCCAACCAGCTGAAATTGGGGGCAGTTTTCAAGATGTCACTGGACACATTATACCTGAGAGTTTTGAGGAGCAGATGATGCTGGCAATGGCTATATCTCTGGCTGAGGCTCGAGCTGCAACAAGTGCACCAGGAGTTTCATGGCAATAGATTTATGGCCGAGCTACCAGTGGTTGTTTTTCTCATACAGACGACGCTGGTCACTGGCTATGGTTGGCTAGCTAGCCCAGTCTCAGGCTAGCACCGAGTCCTCAAATAGATGCAGGCCAACTCTCTTTGCCACACGCCATAATTCCTTATATATAGATGTTAAAAGAAGGTAGCCAGATTATTTCAACAAATGAAACATTGTTTGGTTTTGCTATTCATAATTATTCAAATCCCTGTCCATTAAACTATCTTGCAGTTTCTGTTACTGAGTTCGTATATCTTTCATTTTAGCTTTCTTAGCCTTTCTGTTGTTCTACAACCCCACGTTTCAAGTTAAAATGAACATTCTTCTTAAAGAGAAAAGAAAGAAAATGAAATTTCCAGGGACGTGGAATATAAGCACTAGGCACTGGCAATCAATTGGCGCTTTAAATCTTAATTCGGCATTCTTCTTTGGCATTAAAAAAAAAAAAAAAAAAAGCAGAATACACTTTCTCAGCTCAACAATCCAAGCTGTAAATGCCTGTTTATTTGTTCATAAATGTCGAATCAAATTTATTAAAGATGTTTTTGATACTTTTTTAAGTTGGACTATCGGAATGAAATATCCTACCATTTTCCAAAAAATTAACATTTCAGAAATATTTACACCTCAACATGAAGTGCAAATATTATATCAACTTTTTATAAATTGTAATATTACATTTTAACTGTTTCTCGATGCAACAGAATTTTTCAAAATTTAATTAATAAGAATAACAGATTGCCTGGCAGCTAGCACTGGTGGACGAAGATGAATTTTGGCTTGAGGTGGCGCACCATTATATCTCTCACAGTTGTTAGTTGATGATATGAGCAATGTTAGTACATGAATGTTGGCTTGTGTAGTTGTGTATGATTTCTTTGACCATGAAATGATATATGAAAGTATTTGGCAAAATCCTACATTTAGCCCCTCACCTTATTAAGTTCGAAGATTTTAACCTTTTACTTTATACTATGACATTTTAACCCCTCACCTTATTAGATTTATAAGTTTTAGTCTCTTACCTTATATTATGACACTTTTAACCCCTCACCTATTAAAATTAAAGAAAATAGCCCTCGTTTAATAAAATTTTATTAGGTTTTGTTAACTGACTATTAACTCTATTAACTGATTATTAATTAACTGTTAACTTACAAAAGTTTTCTTTCAGCTAACAGAGTTAACATAACTAATTTTATAATATTTCGTTAATTCTGTTAACTGATTGTTAATTAATTGTTAGTTGACAAAAACCTATTTTCAACTAACAGAATTTACAGTTAATATAAAGTAAATGTTATTTTCTTCGATTTTAATAGGTGAAGGGTTAAAACTTATAAATCTAGTAAGATGAGGGTTAAAAGTATCATAATATAATGTGAAAAGTTAAAACTTTCAAATTTAATAAGGTGAAGAGTTAAAAGTAAGTTTTTTAAAAAGGATTTCAGATAAAAAAAATTTTAAAAAAATCAATGACAAGTACCCCTTTTTTTTTTTTTTTTTTTTTTTTTTGGATACTTTCAAATACAAGCAGTACAGAAATCACCGTTTTATAGCCACAAAAATGACCGTCCATAATTAATACATATAAACTACGTACTCACTGAAAACTGTAGGACAGGTTCAAGGACGGTAGTGAGTTGAGTCTATATAACGAAAATCGTAAGGTACATATGCATTTGCATACTGGGCCATGCAGATGTCCTGGTGCAGGGTGGAAAATGATCATTTTAAAATCTTTCCTTGATCTTAGGTTGCATGATAGGTGAGTACAGTCACTTATCTTTTCACTCATTGTACCAACAAGGAGTCAGATTTAAATTTAACATTTTTTATTTTAATTAAACGCAAAGATTTTTTTTTTCTTTTTTAGTTAAGAAATATAGAATTAAGAGTAAAATTATTATTAAATTATTTATATTATAGGATAATAATTTCGAAATCTTGAATTACATTCTTAAGGCCAAGTGGTTTTCAAATCTCCAATTTATCATTGGATGATGATTAAGATAGATTTTAGCGATTCGGATTGCAGTCAGCCGTCCACTGTGAACTAATAATGAGAGAAGACGCTAGGGGGCCTCAGAGTTGTTGAGAAAAATAGCCAAAACAATTAAATTTCACATGCCATGTCCCTTGATACTACAAGAATGCTCATTGACTCCTTTTTGGTTTCACATGCATTTGCCATGACTAGAACTATTTTTCAATTTTGATGTTTTTTCGCCCTCCACTTTTCATTGAATGATGGCAATGGAGGAGATTCAAAGAGAAGGTTCCTTGTCTAACTACACCTACACTATATCAGTTTCTAAGTAAAGATAGAAAAAAAAAAAAAGTTAATTAGGTAACACATTAACAAAAACATTATAATAAGTTTAGTTATTTCTTGTGACCTTTTACATTGATTGTAGACTTGAGTGAGAAAAGTATATCAAGGAAGGCCTGGATGCATAATATACTGCAAAAAAAAATGTATTATTTCATTTTTATTATTGAGATTTGAATCATCATTACTTTTTCTCATCTCTCTGGTTTCAATTAATTAATTTGTCTTATAAAAAAAAAAGAAAAAGAAAAAAGTGAGGACATCATATCATATAGTACAAAGTCTTAGATAGTCTAAGTGCTAGTTTGTTTTAATTTTTTAGAAACAAACTATCGATTAAACCCCTCTAATCAAATAATTATTTAAGATGTGATAATAACATTGCTTGAATTATAAATAATAATTATTATCAATCATTTAATATTAATTATAAATTATTATAAGTTGTTTTATGTAGTGGAACAAACCAACACTAAATTTAAGTTGAATGGCAAATTCAAAAGCATATCCAAGTAAAGGGGCTATCTTATGGTTATATATTCCTTTGTTTCTTTGTGCCGACTACTTCTCAACTAATGATGAAAATGTAGGAGGGGGCCAAAGAGAAATTAAAGGCCTACATTCCTCACATTTTAATTGCATTATTGATCATGATTATGAGTTCATTAGATGGATAAAAGACAAGTTTGAATATATGGTCCAATAACAACCATTTCATTTAAACATGATTAGTTTCATAATTAGTTTCATGATTAAGACCATAGGATTCTTTCCTCTCATTGTCTGTCCATGTGTGTGCAAAAGAGAAATTAAATACTAGTATATGCAGAGTAGTCTAGTAATATTTGTACTCTATAATTAATTGCCCATTTTTGGGTGCAAATTAAGTGTCTACTTATTTTTAGCAATATGTAGGTGAGAGAATAAACTTTGAATTAATTTTTATAATTGGAAGACCTTATTTATGGGATTAGGTGTCCCATCCATGAGGCTTAGCAGACATTTCAATGTTTGAATATAATGATTTGTAATTTATAATCTTATATTTTAGTTTTGAGATGATTGACTAGAGATTTTATGAATAATTAATAATATTTATTTATGATAATTTGTATTCTTATCTTGTAGTAAACTTACAATCATATATGGCACCATGTTTAGCAACATCTCAATTATTTGAGTATAAGTTTTTCAAATTAATAATCTTATATTTAAATTTTTTAGGTGGCTGAAGAAAGATTTGGTAATAAGAACATATAGTTCTCATTGAAAATGGTTCATTCACAATATTATTTCATAACAATCACAAACCTACTTAAGAAGTTGTGGTTTAATTAGTAAGAGAGTTTACTATGCACTTTGTTAACTTATAAGATTTGATTATTTAACAAAGTCAATGAGGAGATAATTTCTCAAATTTTTTAATTTCAATGTGAATAACATGTCTTTAATTAGATCAAAGAGGGATTAATCTCAAAGAATGCATAAGCTTATCTAGAAAAGTCCTATATGCTAAATAAAAAAAAGTCACAAAGCCTTGATAGTTATTTTTTTAAATGTTCTATACTTGTGTAATTACAAAGAAACATGAAATATTAACTAAAATTAACTATTAATAGTGTATTAATGTGCGAAAAAACACTAAAAGAGAAATATCAAATGCACACTATCTAAAATATGCTCTAATCCTCAAGTTGTCTCTTGCTAGTACTAATATTTTGAAAGAGCCTCTATGATTAGCATTACAATACAGACACAGGAGAGCTAACTGAATGTTTTTATAATTTACATGTTTTATATCCCAAATTTCCGTGATTATTAATTTTTTTAAAAAAATATAGAGTTTTTATTATATAATTTAACACAATTTAAACTAAAATATAATTTTTAAAAAATTGTATCATAAAAAATTCTCTAAAAAATTATATGTACTTTACAACCATAAAAAAGTATCTGCATTAAAAAATTAGAAAAGATCTTCTATAGTGATAGCCAATGAAAAGCATAATAAATTAATAATAATTTGACACATAACTAAATACAAAACCATGTTTAAAATCAAGCAAGATGAGATCATTCATAATGAAATTTAACCTTATATAATGTTATAAGTATATTATTTTTTAATAAAAGTTTCAAATATATCACCTATTGCATGATAACCTTTTATAACAATAGTATAACAATGCCTCAATGTCAATAGGCAGCTTAACTATTTTTTTTTTATTTTAAATAATTGATATAACTAATTAAAAATTTAATATTATAATTTAAACATTTTATTTTTTAAAATAAAGTTACATGTTGAGGATATTTTGGAAAAAAAAGAGGATTTAAATTCAAGTTTACTAAAAAAACCTACATGAAGCAACCACCTGCTCTCCATGAGCTTTTTTTTTTTTTTTTTTTAAACGGATTACATTGGGGATAGAGGGATTTTAAAATGCACCTTAACGAAATACAGAGTTATCTAATTATCAAACTCAGATATCATTTTTT